AACGTTTAAAACATTCCTGCAAAGTCAAGGTTGCCTGCTGACACTCTGCATTGAGAATATTGACGTGATGGATACTACAAAATAAAAACTTTAGACCCGAAGGAAGATCAGACCACAAAGGAAGAAATTTCAAGTTTCTCAGCAGAAAAGAAATAAGTCCAGGAGAACACAATAATAGTGATAAAAAGGGATTGAAAGTAGATACTATGATGACGCACCAACGGAATGATGCATAATTTGAAGAAGTTAGGGTAACTGGATTTATACAGGGGAAGCATTGATTCATATAAAAGAAATAGTAAAGTGCTAAAGGTATTCTGTACCAAAATGATTTTTCTTGATGCAGATATTGATTTATGAGTCATGTTTACAAGCACTCTTAAAAACATTAGGTTCTTGTGGGCTAGTAGGCACTTTGGTGAAATCCTGGTACAGACTTCTCTCTCAGGGTTAATTATTGAGCTCTTACCATGAGCCAGGTGCTGCTCTGATGGCGCTGTGTGCTCCTTTGACCTTCCCGTTAGACCTGCGGAGCATCGGCTACTACGGCTCCTGTTTGAGTGTGGAGGCAGTGCAGGCACAGGCCATGGAGCTTGTTGACCCAAGGTCACGCAGCTCTTCAGTGACGTAGCTGGGACTCAGACCCCAGGGGACTGGTTCCAACGCCTCCTGTGCTCCTGGCCACGTCACCGCAGAGGAGTGGCTACGGTGGAGCACACTGGCTCTTTACTGTCTGTCTCCATTCAAAATCGAGTCACTATTATTAACAAAGGTTGGGGAGACCTAAGCCGGGATCCAGCTGTCAAGAAAGTCACCAAGAAGCAAGAGGGAAATCTAGAATGAATCTTGGAACCAGATTAGTGTTGGACACATCAGTATGAACTCCTGTTTAGTTTAGTGAAGGCAGATGGATCATTAAAAATAGGGCCGTACCCACGAGTTTGCACACACACCCGTATTTCTTAGTTGTCTTCTTAGAGTGCCTAGAAATAATGACACCTCGGTAGCAAGGACTGTATCCAAATCTTGGTTTCAAATAGCATTCTCCCATAAAAGGAGGCCCAGACCCTTGGAGAAATGGCTAATTCTGGGGACGGAGCAGGGGACAGGCAAGATGAGACTGGAGCGCCCGGTAGTTCCAAGAAAGTAAAGATGTGTTCAAAGAGCGAAATGACGGGGAAACCCCGAAGGGACGCAGGAGCCGACTGTTACAACTGTGCTTTCTCAGGCTCTGTGTGTGTCCATTTAGCCACCCAGGAATCACAGGGCCGAAGGTGTTTGTATCCCCCTGTGACCCAGCTTCCGTGGGTGTGAAAATCATATTACAAACCCTCCAACCAATCCCAAATCTGCATCCCAACCCCCTTCCTTTAGTGAATTCTCACACATCAAGCCCTGGCCCTGTATCAGCCCAGTGGCAGGTACCCAACAACCGGGCACAGCCCCGTGCCTCAGAGACCACGCCAGGACTGCTGAACCTGGCCAGACCGAAGAAGCTGTTTTCCCTGCTCTGCGTTGGTGTCCCCCGCACACTGAGTACAGGCTGTGGGCTACGCCTTCCTCCCACTCCCGCATCCCCCGCCTGACCAAACCTGTGCTTCCCACGTGGCTCTGCCTGGCGAGGTGTGACCCTGCTCTCAGGGACTGGAAGTAACAACTCCTTCTTTCAATGGCAGTCACCTGTGTAACTTCAAACCCCACAGGTACATGTTAACATACTGACCTAAACTAGCCTACAATGGCCAAGGCTGGAACAGTCTGAGCGACGACATGAATGATACAGTTTATGGAAGAATTCCAAGTAATTCACGTGGCTGCTTCTCCCTCCAGGAGGTGGAGCCCAAGCCCCTCCCTCCTGAGTGTGCCCTGGAGTTAGTGACCATTTCAGAAAACTGGGGGAAACAGTGGAGAAATCTGGCAACACTAAGCGGTCAAGGTTAATATTACCAATGATGTCATGTCAATAGGATGGGATGGGGTCATTGCCACAAAGCCCCTCACTCCAGTCCAATCATGAGATAAATACCCGACAAACCCAGAGTGAGGGACAGTCTACAAAACAGGTCATGAGAGACAAGGAAAGACTGGGATACTGTCACAGGTTGGGGTAGACTAAGGAGAGGTGACGACTAAATGCTGTCTGATTAGATCTGGAAACAGAAAGAACATTGATGAAATGAAGTCAGGAGTTCAGGGAACAGCGAGGTACCCGTGTTCATTTCTCAATTTGGCAAATGTGCCGTGATTTTCTAAGACTTTCGCATTGAAGTGACTTGGGGAGAAGAATGGAAACGGTCTGTACTACAACTTCTGTATAAGTCGAACATTATTACGAAGTCAAGTTGACTAAAAGAAAATGTCGTACTGGGACAGGAAGTCAAGTGATGTGACCTCTCACTGCATGGAATTACCTTTCAATGAGCAAAAACAATCATTGCCATTGAGAGCACCAGCTGGGCCCGCCCCTCGGGCAGGGGCTGCACCATCTGCTATCCTGAGATTTCTTCCAGATCTATGATTCCAACTTAATGGAATTTTGATTTAATTCAATTCATGACATTGGCTATTAATGTAGGAATGCCGAAAGAGATCAATATTTTGAAATATTGTATATTTTCTATGTCACAATTTTATTATAGTATATAATGAAACTTCATCAAATAACATTTTTTGGTACAAAGAAGAAAAATTGTTATAATTAAAAAAAACACACAGACAAAATCTTTAAGTAGTACTAATTCCAAATAATTTTATTTGCTTTTCTAGCTTATGTGGACAGATAACACTTTCCCCAAAATCCAGTATTCAAGAGTAGCTATTTTGTACAAGTTACTATAGCACATTAGGGGAGCTGGCAGTCGTCAGAGGCTAAATTCTCAAAAAAATCATACTTCTAAAGAACAAATACACTCCATTAGTTAAGTTATAAAAGTGAGGTGTGTATAAATATGTATACATATTTATATGTGTATAAATATTTAAATATGTAACGCAACACATCTGTGCACAATCCTTAGATAAAAGTTTCTGTTTGCTCTGAAAAGTTCAGTATAGTGTAGAGGGGAAATCAAGTTCAACTGTCGAGGCAGCCAAATGCCAGATGAAACGACGGACTCCGAACTGCCATAAAAGCTAGAAACTTCTCCTGACTATCGTGGCTCTTACAGAGTGATTGGCAGGAAAAGCCCATCCTTCTGCCATTGTGGTGGTCAGCTACATAGTTTATGCTTTGCATTCTTTCGTACTGACTCATAAAAGTTTATAGAAGGGTAATAGAATAATGATTTGTGAAGCATTCACTTAAGAATAAATATGGGAGATCAAGCACCATAAAACTAATTTGGGCTCAATGCCCAGAGAAATCACTTATTGACATGGCCTTGACTTAAACGTATTCACTAGAGCTACGCCATAGCTACGTCTCTTTCCTGGTGGGTTTCTGTTGGGCTCCATGAAGGCAGAGAAATGTGTCACAGGATTAGTAGTGACTTACACTGAAGTGTAGAAATGTTGTCTGTAGTGATCTTGTATGTGAATACATGCAGGCAAAATACATGGGTATTTGCAAACACGCAGTGACAGTCATAGTCACCTGATCACTGTCGGCTTCCAAACAATCTGGCTGGTCTTTGGTTTTTGAGTGAAATCGCTACAAAGTTCACTCCTATGTTTTGCTCTGATTTCTCAATGCAAAAAAAAAAAAAGTGTGTTGACAAGAGACAACAGAAAGTGTGTCTACAACTGGGCTTTTCTGTTAACAGAGTCCTCTTGGCCTCTTTTGAAAAAGCCAAGGTGAAAGTTGGAAGACTCTCCCTGCAAAGGGGTGAAGCAACCTCCTTTCCACTGGCCAAGTGCAGCTCCTGGCTCCACTCCAGGGTTCCGGGCTGTGAATGCCTTTGCTAGCCCAGCTTCGCTGGGAGTCAGTAACTCCCCCCTCAGAATCTCTGCCAGCGTCCAGGCCCAGCAGCACGCAGGTGCAGGTGCAAAGAGCTGCCGGACGACCTGAACGAAGAGACCAGACCTCAGAGGGAGTGCCCCTGAGTCCTGCCACCCTGGTAGTCGAAGAGCTGCACCCAGGAGCTTAACTCTGGCTTCAGGATCTGCTGAGTCTCTTGCCTGTTCATTTTTTCTCTTCCAGTGAACATAGAGACAGTAGGCAGATACACAAATAGGAGGGAATACCTGAGCACGTTCCTTTCTCTCACTCTTTTCCTGTTTTTTTTTTTTAACATAGGCCCAGTGGCATTTCTTAGGGTCACTAGTTGAAACGCAGTCACCCAGGAGAAAGTTTGGACTTTGGGGGTCAGAAGGATCTCGGCTGGATTCCTGGCTGGGTGACCCCAACAATCCCTGGACTTGGAACTCTCATTTTCTTTGTTGCAGGCAAACAGAAGCACTTCTCTCGCGGAACCTCGGTCAGCATTAATATACTGTCTAAAGGTGTCTAACGCAGGGTGGCACCAGGCAGAATTCGTTCATGTTCCCTCCTCCTTCTTCCTCTCTGGCTTCTCACAGATTTGACCTGTTGCCATCTCTGTCTGTGTATCTCCTTACCCCAATGGGTAATTTGTATTATCTTGAAAAGGAAGTATATGCTTTTAAATATTTTGTTCCTACTGTATAAATTTAAAGACTCTAAGTTTCTAATTCAGGAATCTTATGACTTTAAACTTTTCAGTGTCTCTGACAATAAGTGTTTAAATGTTATAGTGGACTATCTATTTTCCCAACATCTGAACCTCCTCCTAAGCTTGAGTACAGCCTTGTGTGGGCATCTTGATGGAAGGCAGGGAGCGCCTCCTGCTGGAGAAGCCCGGAAGAGAATACAGGTATATGTCGACTTAGCTCAGCCAATCAGATGTTCAGTAGCCATGTGGTAGGCTTTAGCCAATCAGATGCTTCCAACATGGTACTAAACTGGCCTCAGCCAATCAGATCTTCCAATGGGATGTGACCGTAAGATGAGTGATTCGAAGAAGCAAGGGGAGCAAACGCAGCTTCAACGCCTGTCCCCAGGTCCTTCAGTGCCAAGGGTCCGTTGTGCCTGCGATGGGCCCTGCTCACAGAGAAGGCGCTTCCCATCCTCAGGCCATTTTGTCCAGGTTCCTGTGGCTTCTCCTTCCAGACTGCTCCTTTGGGGAGCATCTCAGAGAGCAGTGGGTCTGAGGCCTCCTGGAACCATTTCCGGTCCTTTGTGCCATTGCCTTGGGAATCTGTCTCCAAGATGAAAGTGAGAGGCTACTACTGTGCTTCTCGTGGGGACCCTCGCTGGTGAGTGCTGCCTGAAATTGAATTTTACTTGTTCCTCTCATGTCTTTATTTCCGTGTGTAGGTGTGGAGTGTGTGTATGTGTATCTTAGTGGTTCTTTCTCCTCGGTCCCCTCACGTGGAAGGCTAACCTATACTCAGAAGAGTCCCCATCGTTATCTCGGATTCGGATCCACCAAAACCAAAGCCACGGAACACCCGGGACTAAAAGATGCTTGTCCGTGCCGCAGTTTTAAAAAATCCTTATTTCAGACACATACACGCGATGCTGAATATATTCTCACCACGCTTTGCAGCGCTTTCTGGGCCGACGACCCCCAGGCAAGCGGCACACAGAAAGAAATCTGCAGTCATACCGTCAGGATGGGATGGGATGCACTTGAACTCATGCTAGGCTTGTCTTCTCCGCGTCTCCCAACCTGAGGCATTTTAACCGCCTGTTGTTTGTTGTTTCTCTTCCCTGCTCCTCAAACTGCTGTCCCCACCCACTGGAACTCCGCCCTTCCCCCACACTGCACAGAACGCCTGCCATCGGTGTCGGCTCAGGGACAACGCTCTCTTCCACTGAGAACCGGCAACATCGCCACTTCTCTGGGTCTCTGCCTCTGAGAGCCAACCACCAGCTCATTGACGCCAATCCCCCTTGGAGAAGCCAAGGTCATGGAACCTGTCCATCTGTGTGACCTCGGGCGAGTGATCTCTGGGTGCCTTTGTTTCTCTCTGTGGAAAAACGGGTGCTGATCATCACGGCACCAACTTCCCAGGGTTGTTGTGAACGTTATCTGAGTTAATACATGTGAGTTCTCACCACGCAGGCTGGCGTACACAGTGTGCTCAGTGAGGGTTGGCCGTGACCTTTACAATGCATCTCCCTTAGTTTGCCAGGCAGGAATCGCCCAATGTCGCTGCTTGTTGTGAGCCGAATGGCGTCCCTCTCAGATTCCTACGTCAAAGTCCTATCTCCAGGCCCGCCGAATGTGACGGTGTTTGGAGACAGAAACTTTAAAGACGCAATTAGGTAGAATGAGGACATATGGATGGGCCCGAATCCAATGTGACTAGTGTCCTTACGGGAGGAGATTGGAACACAGACACACGCAGAGGAAGGACCATGTGGAAGACACAGGGAGAAGGGGGCCATCTGTAAGCCAAGGAGAAAGGCCTTCAGAAGAACCAACCTTGCCAACCCCTCGATCTTGGACTCCCAGCCTCCAGAAAGTGCATTTCTGTGGTCTGAGTCTGTGCATTCATCTCCTGGTGCTGTGTTAGGACAGCTGCAGGGAACTAATGCACACAGTGCAGTCTCAAGCTGTCCTTGAAATGACAGGTTGACCTTGGGTTTCCCGTCCTTAAACCCTGCTGATTCTCAGGGTCCAATCCTTCCCACTGGCTCCTCTGCCCTTTCTCTGCCCCAGAATGTCATGTCCCCAGGGTTCTTTCTCAGACTCTTCTCTTTCTACCTTTTCCCACAAGGCGCTACCCATTCTCTCCACTCCTGCCGTGGATGTCGTGCTGAAGGATCCAAACCCGCGGCTCTGGTTTCATGCCCCCTAGATCTCCTCCGGCCTTCCAAACGCCCCGTCTGACGTCTCCAGAGCTGTGTCATGCTAACGGCTCCGCCCCCAAGTATGGTCTTCTCATCCACACTCTCCCCTCCTGTTTTCCTCTCAATTGTCTCCTTAGAGACCCAGCCTGTGAAATCACCCCTTGGTCCCCAAAACACGTTCCTCAGTTCCCCTGACTCTTCACCTTCTCCCAGTCCCTGCGTCAATCCAGGACACGTTGTCATCTGCTCAGTATTTTACATTACTTCCTGTTTCTCCTCCCATCTGTTTTACAACTTCATTCTCCAAGGGGTTATTTCCCTAAAACACAAAAGATATTATTTTCCTCTCATGATATCGTAGTGGTTCTTTGTTGCCTAATTTAACAAAGAAAGCCCAAGTTACTTCCACTGGCATTCATGATTTTCTGTGATCCTTACTTTTCAACTTTAAAGGATGTTTTTTAAAATGCCCACAAAACCACCCAACAGTGCACACTGTGGCCACATCAGACTATTGCAGAATCGGGGCGGCTGGCCATCCTGCAAATGGCAATCAGTTAGTTACATTCTGCCCATATGTTGCTCTTGACTTCTCTGGAAAGGAGGTTCCAAAGTAAACAAAACGAGGGAGAATTCTGATATTTTTATAAATGATATTTTTAATGTTATAGACCATCATCACCTCTTTTTTTTGTTTTTTTCCCATTTTAGTGAGAGATATTTGACATACATCACTATAAGTTTCAGGCGTACAGCACAAAGATGTGATGTACATATATCATAAAATGATTATTGCAATAAGTTTGGTTAGCATTCATCATCTCGTAGAGGTACAGAGGAAAAAGAGAAAGAATTCTCCTTGTAGGAGAACTTTTAGTTTACTCTCTTAAAAACGTCCCAGTATGTTCTACAACAGTGTCAGCCACGGCCACCACAATGTCTGTCACCTCCCCAGTGTTTACCTTATAATCGGAAGTGTTACCTTTGCCCATTTTTCTCCACTTCCACTCCCCCCACCCTTGCCTTTGATAACCAGATAAGAGATCAGTAGCAAATCTGATCTTTTTTTTAAATTAGTTTGGGTGTTTTGTGTTTTTTTAAGATTCTACATGTCAGTGAGATCATAGAGTGTTTGTCTTTCCCTGTTGATTTATTTCACTTAACATGATCGCCTCAAAGCTCATCCACATTGTCTCATATGGCTCAATTTCTTCTTTTTTTTTAGCAGTTGACATGGATTCCATTGTTTTTAAGGCTGCATAATATCCTGGGAGATGTCCCAGCTTCCCTACTCCTCCTTCTGTGGGTGGCCACTCAGGCGGTTTGCGTGTCTTGGCTGTTAGGAATCATGCTGCAGTGAACGTAGGGCTGCGGGTGTCCCGCTGAGATCACAATTTTGCTTTCATCAGATGTATTCCCAGAAGTGGGATTGCTGGATCACATGGTAGTTCTCTTTTTCATTTTTTGAGGAACCTCCACATCGTTGTCTACAGAGGCTGTATCAGGTCACTTTCCCACCCACAGAGCACAGGGTGCCCTGGGGGCCCCTCTCTCTACATCCTCACTGGTCCTTGTTATCGCTTGTCTTTTTGACCATGGCCCTTCTAACAGGCACTTCGACCTCATCACATCTTATCTGCATGAATCCATAGAGCTGAGGATAATAATTCGGCTCCATTCACATCTCATTCATTTGTGGCCTATTTACACAACTTCAACAATACGCCACCCTGTTCCTACTATGACAAATGGTCAGTGCCTGGGACCACTGTTGGGGCACTGTCAGGAGCACCAGACTCAGGTTCATTGTCATCAAATGCATTCCACTGAGGCTAACGACTCTTGCATAAATGTTAGAGAAATCGAGGTTCGAGAAAGTCTGCACAGTGATGAACGGGAAATGAAGCCACGCCTCTATCTTGTTCTTGGGGGACGTGAGAGCCCCAGTGCCACAGTGGCAGATATTCAGTAGGCAGGGGGTTGGGTCTCGGTAGAGAGGAGGGAGTCTGCATGAGGGACGGGACTGGGAGCCTTCCACACTGGGAGATAAACAGCAGCGTGCAGACGGATGCACTGTTAGCTGGGGGTGCAGAGGAGGGGGGGGCCCACCTCTAGTGTGCCCACGGATAGAGGAGAGTTCACGGAGCACCATCCCCAAATCATGCAGTTTTCCTTGTGTGGGAGAATGGTCCCAACCTAGCCTCTGGTGCTTGGACAAATAAGAGACTAAGAAAAAGCAGCATCTCTCTTAGGGATGTTTCCTCTCTTCCTAAGGGATTATCCCACCCTCGGTCAACACACCCTGAGGACATTTTGTTTTACTCTGCACTTCACTTGCTTCAGACTTTCAAACTATTTTGGTATCATTCTCCAGCATGGGCAGAGAGAAGTTTCTGTAAAAAAGAGTTTCTTTGGGGACCGTTAAATATAGTTTTTAATCTGTTTCACCTGATTTTTATTTTAGTAATGCCCAGAGGAATATCCATGTATGAATCAGCCTGCACTAATGAAGCTCGGAATAATTGTATTTTGGGGAAATAGGTCAGTTCGCAGTCACCATGAGCAATGTGGCATCTTGTAGCAACAGTTCTTGGTGGATATCAGTTATCAGAACTATTGCTATGTTACTCATTCCACGTGTTTTAAATTTCATATTAGTGTTTATAAATGTAGAATGTAGTTTTGAAGGGGGCAATTTTTGAAGAACAGTGACTTCAGGTTAAAATATGTGGGGAGTTTGGGGCCACAATCCCATCAGTAAGGTTACTCCAGCCTTACTTTGCTGGATTTGAGAGAGCCCATACAGATTCTTCTCAGATTATAAATAATTGACTAATGAACACCCATGCACAGGAATCCGTATTTGAAGACTGGCTCCTTCTGCTGTCCCCTGGATTTTACCTAGGACACCTGAGGGGGTTGGGGGTGGGGGTGTCTTGAGATGGTGCTGCCACCTGCTGGTCAAAAGGACTAACTGCCATCTACCCCCAAACCATTTTTTCTGGGGCATCCAGGCATCCAGTTCAGTGGGTATTTTCAATAAACACTCATGGAGCTTACATGAGGGCCAGGCATTGTGATAATTACTCAGGAACAGACCTGTCTCGATCTACTTTTCATTTGCTTTTTACCATTTGCCATTCAGTTTATTTAATGTCACACAATTGTTTTCTCGGGAATAGACTCGTTCTACTTCAGAATGCGGTTCCCTATCCCCCCTCCTCTCCCAATTCTTGTTTGGTTTCCTTAGAAATGGTTATTTTCCTCCTCTTTTTTTTCTTAGGTTCCATTTGCGCGCCAACAGTGACATTCATCGTGACTTGAAGTGAAAGTGTTGTGCTGTTAGACCTTGCTCCAAGAAAAAGGCAATCACAAATTCTTAAAGATTTTTTCCTACGAACTTTTAAAGGCCCTACAAGGGCCCAGCGTCCCACAAAAGGCTCTTTCTGTCTTCTTATCTAATTGTGTCCACACAATTTACCCACTTCTCTTGTTGCACCAACATTCAAGAAAAAATTTACCGTGCTTTTCATCCATTTTCGATTTTCTAAAGATAGTAAATATCGCTTTTGCTACATTTCATCATAAGTATTGACCATTTAAGTTCATTGCAGGTAAAATCCTGAGATTGTTGGCAAACACAATCATTGCTAGTAAAACTGTATTTAGGGGAAATTCATTTTGAGTGCCAACAAGTAGCCAAGAGCTTTTGAAATGTGGCTCATTTCAACAGGAGGATTTTCATGTTGAAAAACATAAATTAGGGGCTGTTTTGTTTATAATATAAAAAGATTTGCTACTTCATGGATTAATTTATCATGGAATCTCTAAGTAAAATGACAACCAGAATACATTTAAATTGTGATTCAATTGTAAAACATTTAGAAACAGCAATAGTTATAAATCCAGTGGGGATAAACACAGGCTGGTAAGAATCAAAGAATTTGGTAAGAATTACACAATTTCAGTCCTGTTAGTTCCAGGTAGGCACATGTCTGAAATATTTTTATTTGCAATAATAAATCTGGGAACATTAATTATTATAAAAAGTATGCAATCTTGAAACAGATTCCTAGAATTCCTGGTGGAATTGCTAAATCAAAGGGTATGCATCTTTGTAATTTTGATACGTATTGCCAAATTTCCCTCCACAGGGACTATACCACTTACGTTTGTAACATCCTTTGAATCCTCAAAGACATCGCATTATTGGCTGATACAGTCGCTGTTCAGTAGATTTACCCAAAGATGCCAGGTGCCCTTTGCTCTTCTTCCCTTCCTTGTCCCTGGCCCTCGCCCCTAGGGGCTCATCTTCCCTTTTAAAAGAACATCCTTTAGAATTTCCTTAGCGAGTGTCTGCAGGAAAGTCTCTGTTTTGTTTGTCTGCAGTGCTGTTATCTGCCCTCCTTCCTGACATGATTCTAGGTGGCTCATTTTTTTTCATCCTGTTAAAAATGTCTTCTTTTGTCTCCTCTCCAACACCGCCCCCCAGCTTCCTGTGTTGCTGTTACTGAGTCAGACAGTCTGACTGTAACTCCTTCCGAGATAATTCGTTTCTTTTCTCTGGTTGCTTTACATTTTTTTCCTCTTTGGATTTTTAAAATAATTGCCATTGTTTTAGGGCTTGAAAAAAGTTTAGTTTTTAGTTTTACTTGATGTGTCTAGATGTGAAATTTTTATTTTCTCCTAAGGATTTGATGAGCTTCTTAAATCTGTAGGTTTGTCTCTTTTATTGGTTATTACAATTTTAAATAGTGTCTTTGACTTATCCTCTTTATTTTCTCTTTCTAGACTCTCATTAAATGCATATTAGACCTTTGTATTCTGTCTTCTGTCTTTTAACTTCTTTTCTGTATTTTCTGTCTTCTGCGATGCATTCTAGATAATTTCTTCTGTTGAACATCCAGCCCAACGATTTTCTCTTTAGCTCTGTCAAGCCTGCTTTTAGACTATATCTGAGTAATTAATTTCAGCTGTTGAGTGTTTCAATTTGAGAAGTTCTGTTTGTTTCTTTGTTAATGTAATGCTTATAATTCCTGGTTCCGGGGAGGCCTTTTCAAGCTAATTTTTAACTTCTTAAGGAATCAAGGCAGTTGTTTCATTGTATGTGCCTGAGAATTCCAATAGGGGTGGCGTCTGTGTGGAGACGTGAAAATGCACCTGCCCTCTCGGCTGCAGGAAGCAGAAGAGGTGGCCCCGCTGCGGTGCTCTGATGTCCATTACCGCCTTCATGTGGGGGGATGTGTCTCCACCTAGACAAACACGGGGCCTTGCAGGGACCAAAGGGAAACCTGTTTCTGAGAGGTGCTGGACTCCTCTGACCTGCGACCTTGCCTGACCTTTCTTAGAACTGTAGGTCAGACTTCCCAACCTCACCCGCTTCTCTCTTCCCTTCACAGGGGCCAGACGACAAGTGTGGATTTGACGTTGCTCCACGCACCTCGAGGTGGGCCAAGGGGATGCTGTCCTGCGTGGTAAGTGGCATGTGGGATCGGATAAGCAATTTCTTGGGAGATAGGATTTGATATCCTGGCAAACCGCCCAGGAGAGGGGGTGAACTCCTCGCTGGGGTGGCCCTTGAGAGCCTGGAGAAAGGCAGGGGCAGAATGTGCCCTCCCTGGGGCACAGCAGATGACAGCTGTGACCCCAAATCAAGGCGAGAGTGGGGAGCTGGGCCTCAGGGCTGTCGTCCCCGTAAAGAGTCACAATCCCTTGCTCCGTTCCTAGACCTGAGCCAAATTCCAGACCCAGAACATGAGAGGGAGGGTGGCCAGGGCTGTGGGAGGAAGCACAAATGTATATTCTGTGGTTATTGCGGAGTCCTTCCCCAAGGGGACCTGCAGCACGATCTATCTGCTTCTTCTATCGTCTCTCGGCCGTATTTTATGACAATCACCTCCTCCCAACCCGCAGCAGTTACCACTGAGCTCTCCAGCCCCGCACCCAGGGGTGAGCAGCCAGGTCTCTACAGACCTCGGCACCTGGGATGGGTGTTCTGCTTGTCTGTGACCTGCAGGAGAATCTCCGGTTGCTTAGACGTCACTCGAGGCTCCTGGAATGCAGAATTGCTTGGTTCCCAACAAATATTTTCATGGTCATTTTTGTGCCCTGCAGTCCCAGCTCTGGGGACAGAACAGACGCACGCCCAGCGGCCGGGCGATGCCTGCAGGCGATAATGCAGCGATGCCTGGGGCCACCAGAGCGCCTCGCTGCAATGTTTACAGTTCGGTATTTTTAAATCACATCTCTCCTGCCCACACTGGCCGGACTTAAGAAAAGATATTCACCAGATACTTTCTAGAAACTGAGAAATTGTGAATGTTGTCGTGTAAGGAAGAGGAATGTGACGGAAATCAAGCCCTAGACGCAGTTCAAAGACCAGCCTGCAGGTGGCCCCGCCAGCTCCTCCCGCCGGGGCTCCCGGCCTGGTCCGTAGTGCGCAATGTCCGTGCCTGGGGAGCGGCCAAGGGCAGACCGGACCACCAGGGAGAATGGAAAGGAGAGACCCTAGGGCCATGTTGGGGGGCTGCTGGGTTTCCAGCAAAACGTTAGTTGCTTTTCCACAGCACTGTCTGATTGAATAGTCAGTAGCAGTACAGTGCTTTTAACTTTTCCTTTTTAACTATGAAATACATCAAATATAAAGAATGCCTTGAAAATATGTGCAGGGGGAGAGTAATAGGACAAACATACTTGTAACGACCTGAACCAAACAGGGAACACAGCCAGGGCCCTGGAAGCCCCTCCCTCACCCCTTCCTGTCCCCAGCAGAAAAAAATAACCATTTTTCTTGACTTTCCTAAGAATCATTTCCTGGCCTTTTTTGTTGTGATGTTCCCATCTATGAAAGCATAGTTTTGCCTGCTTTTGGATTTTATTTAAGTGGAATTTTATTGCGTGTGTTATTTTGTGATCTACTTTCCCCCCCAAAATGTGATAAAAATACACTTCCCATAAAATTAGCCATTTTTACGTGTACAGTTCAGTGCATGAAGGACAGTCACATTATTGTGCCACCATCACCACCGTCCCTCCATGGAACTCTTTTTGTCTTACACAGTGACACTCCGTACCTAATACACAACAACCCCTCATTTCCTTCCTTCCGGGTCCCTAGCACCCAGGTTCTTCCTCTGTCTCTACGAGTTTGCCACACTAGGTGTCTCCCCCTGGAAGTGGATTCACCCACTGTGTGTCCCTTAGTGCCTGGCTTATTGCACTCAGCACAATGTCCTCCAGGGTCCTCCGTGTTGTAGCCTGTGTCAGAATTTCACTACTTCTGCAGGCTGAATAATATTCCATGGTGTGTATAGACCACATTTTGTCTGCCCATTGATTCATTCTTGGGCACTTGGGCTGCTTCCTCCTTCTGGCTGTTGTGAACAACGCTGGCTGTTGTGAACCTGTGGTTATGGGTGTGCGACTATCTCTTGGAGTTCCTGCTTCCAGTTCTCTTGAGGATATGCCTAGCAGTGAAATTTCTGGATCACATGGAAGTTTGGGTTTTCATTTTTTGAGACACCGCCCTACGGTTTCCCAGGGTAGTGGCCCTGCTATCCGTCTGTTTCTGCCAACAGTGCGCACGAGTCCCAAGTGTCCCACTTCCTTGCCGGCACTTGTTGTTACTTTTTAAAGTTTATAATAACCTCCCCGATGACAGTGAGTATCTCGTTGTGGTTTTGATTTGATTTCCCCAGTGATTAATGATGTTGAGCGCATTTTCATGTGGCTATTGGCCATTTGTATAACTTCTTTGGGGAAATATTGATTCAAGTGTTTTGCTCCTTTTAAAATTGGGTTGCTTGTTTTTCATTATTGTGTTGTAGGAGTTCTCTCTATATTTTGGATATTAGCTCCTTATTAGATATACGCTTTGCAAATACTTCCCCTGTCCCGTAGGCTGCCTTTTCAGTCTGTCAATTGTGCCCTTTGATGCACAGAAACTTTAAATTTTGATGAAGTCTAGTTATCTAATTTTTCTGTTTTCTTTGTCTATGTTTTTGGTATTAGAGTAAAAAAATCATATCCAAATCCAATGTCAAGAAGATGTTCCCCTGTATTTTCTGCTAAGAGTCTTTCAGTTTTAGGTTTGGTCCTTGATCAATTTTGAGTTCATTTAAAAAAATGTTTTATTTACTTATCTTTTGGGGCAAAGGGAAGGAAAGAGGGAGAGAAATATCAATGTATGGTTACCTCTCGTGTGCCCCCTAGTGGGGACCTGGCCTGCAACCCAGGCATGTGCCATGACTGGGAATTGAACCACAATACTTTGGTTCGCAGGCCCGTTGAGTTCAGTTTTGAATGTGGCAAAAGGTAAGACTCCATCCTCATTGTTTTCCAGGCAGATACACTGTTTTCCCAACGCTGTTTGTTGAAAGACTGTGGTTTCTCACTGAATGGTCTTGTCGCCCTTGTTAAAACCATTTGACTGCATATGTGCGCGTGTATTCTGGGTTCTCTATTCTCTTCCATACGTCTGTCTTTTTACTACCACAATACTATGCTGTACTACCCTGTTTCGACTGCTGTAGCCGTCAGTACGATTTAAAATCAAGATACGTGAGACATCAGACTTTGTTCTTCATTTTCAAATTGTTTTGCCTATTTTGGGGCCCTCGAGGTTCCATACGAATTTTAAGATGTGACCTGCTTCTTTTGCTCAGACTTATGCTCGTGAGTTTCTCCCGAGTTGCTCAGTTAGTTCATTTGTTTGCATGGCCACGCTTATCCACAGCCTACTGTTGTTGGGCATTTGGGTCCTTTTTATTGGGCTTTCTAAAAACAGTGCTGCTATCCACACCCTCAGCATGTCCCCTGGCACAGATGTGTAGTAATTTCTCTGGGATATATGCCTGTATATAGATATCCACACGCATGGACTTAGTGACTCACACTCACCTTCAACTGTATAGTGCAGGGTCACACTAGTTTCGACAGGGCGGAAACCGATTTACACTCCCACTCACAGTATATAAGAAATCCCACTGTTCCACATCCTTATGTATTACCAAATTTTGTTTATCAAAGGAAAGAGTATCAGAAATAACCTAAGGATCTATAAATGGGCAGTTGGCTAAATAAGTTATGATATAGTCATACAGTGGAACATTTTACAACCATTAAAAATGACAAGGACAGCTAATTATTATGAGCTAGGTGGTCCCAGGCACTGTTCTAAGAGATATATATATATTCTTTTTTAAAAAATATATTTTATTGATTATGCCATTACAGTTGTTCTATTTCCCCCCTTCATTCCCCTCCACCCTGCACACCCCCTCCCCCACCATTCCCCCTTTAGTTCATGAACACGTGTCTCAAGTTCTTTAGATTCTATATTTCCCCTACTATTCTTGCCCTCCCCCTATCTATTTTCTACCTACCGTCTATGCTACTTATTTTCTGTACCTTCTCCCCCCTTCTCCTTCTCCCACTCCCCTGTTGCTAACCCTCCTTGAGATCTTCATTTCTAAGTTTCTGCTCCTGATCTAGCTGTCCTCTTAGTTTGCTTTTGTTTTAGGTGTGATTGTTAATAACTGTGAGTTTGCTGTCCTTTCACTGTTCATCTTTTTTATCTTCTTTTTCGTAGGTAAGTCCCTTTCACATTTCATATAATAAGGGCTTGGTGATGATGAACTCCTTGAATTTGATCTTATCTGAGAAGCACTTTATCTGTCCTTTCATTCTAAATGAAAGCTTTGCTGGATAGAGCAATCTTGGTTGTAGGTCTTTGGTTTTCATGACTTGGAATACTTCTTTCCAGCCCCTTCTTGCCTATAAGGTCTCTTTTGAGAAATCAGCTGACAGTCTGATGGGAAGTCCTTTGTAGGTGACTTTCCCCTTATCTCTTGCTGCTTCTAGAATTCTCTCCTTCATTTTAATCTTAGCTAATGTAATGATGATGTGCCTTGGTGTGTTCCTTCTTGGGTCCAACTTCTTTGAGACTCTTTGAGCTTCCTGGATTTCCTGGAAGTCTATTTCCTTTGCCAGATTGGGGAAATTCTCCTTTATTATTTGTTCAAATAAGTTTTCCACTTGTGACTGTTCCTCTTCCCCTTCTGTTACCCCTATAATTCGAATGTTGAAATGTTTAAAGATGTCCTGAAGGTTCCTAAGCCTCTCCTCATTTTTAAAAAAATTTTATTTAGTTATTTTTCAAGTACAGTTTTTTTTGTCTATTTCTCCCATCCCAGCCCCCCCCCCGCCCTGTGCTCTCCACCTCCCTCCCATTTCCTCCCCCCAGTCCTCATCCCTGTGTCTTTCATACTTGTTCCTCAATCTCCTAATTTTTTTTGAATTCTTGTTTCTTCATCCTTTTCTGTTTGGTCATTTTTTTCCTCTTTCTGGTCCACTCCCTTGATTTGAGTCCCCGTTTCCTTTCCATTACTATTGGTTTCCTGTGCATTTCCATTCATTTCAATTAGTTTCACCTTCATATGTTCCTCTAATTTGTGACTAAATCAACCACTTCTGT